ACAGTCAATTCAGATTTTAAAAAAGTTTATTTAAACATTTTATGAAAATAAATCTTCAATAAACAACCCTGGCTTCATTAACCATGTGGACAATAAGTAAGAGAGACCAACAGTCGAACTGCTGGGACATAGGAGAAAGTATAAAACATAATTTAACAAAGAAATCCAAACAAAAATCAAATAAAGTAAAGAGATCCTGGATGATTGTTTGACTGTTAAAATATGATGGAAAAGCAAATCCAACACAACCCTCCAGCATCTGGCTTTCAAACACAGGGCAACATCATGTTAAGAAAAATAAATTAAATATTGACCTGGATCTCTGTGTTTTATCTGAGGATGACTATGGTAGCCTTCTCACTGTTCACTGTCACAAAGCTCCAGACTCTGTCCACCTTCTTCAGACGTCGATCAGCTCCTCTGGTGATGGCAGAGAGGACTCTTCATCTGGGAGAGCTGCTGGTGTAAGGTCATTTCTCCCACAGTGGATGAGCAGGGCATCTGGCACAGGTGATAAAAGGAGGAGGTTCCTTCAGACTAAGAGACCCCAGCCTGACCTCTGTGACAGGTGTGCAGATGAAGGTTGAAATGACCCAGCCTGACCTCTGTAACAGGTGTGCAGATGAAGGTTGAAATGACCCCAGCCTGACCTCTGTAACAGGTGTGCAGATGAAGGTTGAAATGACCCCAGCCTGACCTCTGTAACAGGTGTGCAGATGAAGGTTGAAATGACCCCAGCCTGACCTCTGTAACAGGTGTGCAGATGAAGGTTGAAATGAGTCATTTTTAGGTTTGTTGATTGTAAAATGGAAAAGAAAACATCACCTTTCTATTTAACATTTAGCTGGTGTATGACTCAGTGTGATTTTATTTTAGAAGACTGTATTGTTAACAATAGCTTGTTTTTACAATCCTCTTATGAAACTTCAAAACAATCACAGGATATAAACTTTTAACAGATGATTTTAACTTACACTTCACCTCTGTGGAAGATGTCAGACCAGCTGCTTTTATCTCTTCTTTGCCTTAATGAAGACACAAAAAACAATTGATTTACTGCTCACTTAAATATATTAGAAAAGCAGACATGACTCACATTGCAGACTATCAGTTTCTAACAGAATACAACATATCTCACCACCTGTAGCCTACGGTCTGTGGTGCTAACCTAGCTTAAATATATCTTAAATAAAGAATGATTTCATTAAAACCAGAGGACCCAGCAGCCCACGTGTTTTCAATAATGATCAAAATAGCTGGATTTTTAAAAACACAGTGTGTTTAAATATTAGACTTTGAATACGGTGGTTTGTTGTACTTACACATTTCTTCATCGTAGACCGGCAGAGCGCTTTCAGCGTAGCTGGGCTGCGTAAGTCATCAGGGCAGTACGCTAAGTGGGCGGGGCGTGTTACCAGGGCTCCTCCCCGGACCCTACTGCGCAGACTCTGGCTCCAAATGACGTCAAAATCGCAAGATGGAAGCGCCCGTAAGGGCGTATTTTGGCTTCAAGAACGTTGAGTGGGAACAGCTACAGCGCCCACTGGTTCAGAGGCCAACCCTGATCATACCTGGGAAATTTTAAGCAGATCCGAGAAAGTATGTATGATGTAGTACTTAGTCCTTGCATTAGGGGGCGCTATGGTTAAAGTTGAATATTATTATGTCAATGTGTTCAGAGGCCAACCTTGATCATACATGTGTAATTTCAAGAAGATCAGACAAAGTATTTAAGAGTTACAGCCACTTCCTGTTTGATGGCGATGTGATTTGTAGACTTCCTGTTGAGTTTTGGGCGTGGCTTGAAGAGGCTTTTTTGTCATGTTGGAAATGCAGTAAAATTCAGAATTGTAGGTTGAACGTGCTGCGGGGGCTGAATGTTTGAAATATTGTAGGGGGCGCCACTGAGCCATTAAGCCACGCCCACTCACTTAAACAGTATAAGATGTTTGACTTCACCACCAGGATCATGTGTATGAAGTTTCGGGACAGTACGACTATGTTAAGCCTGCGAAAAAACTACTTCCTGTTTGATGGCGAGCGACGCGTCCGTATGGCGACAGCGTTGGACGAAGGCGTTTGAGCTTGAAAGTGTTGTATGGCCGAGGTGTTAGCATGGCCGAGGTGTTAGCATGGCCGAGGTGTTAGCATGGCCCACACACATCCTGAGGGGGAACTGAGCTACCGTGTAGCAATGGCTAATGCTAATTGAGAAGCAGTAACTTCCTGTTGTCAACAGATGGCGCTGTGACTAATCAAAAAATGTCAGTCATGGACGTGTTCAGGGCGGGTCCAGTATCATGGATGTGTTCAGGGCGGGTCCAGTATCGTGGATGTGTTCAGGGCGGGTCCAGTATCGTGGACGTGTTCAGGACGGGTCCCGTATCGTGGACGTGTTCAGGACGGGTCCAGTATCGTGGACGTGTTCAGGGCGGGTCCAGTATCATGGACGTGTTCAGGACGGGTCCAGTATCGTGGACGTGTTCAGGGCGGGTCCAGTATCGTGGACGTGTTCAGGGCGGGTCCAGTATCGTGGACGTGTTCAGGACGGGTCCAGTATCGTGGACGTGTTCAGGGCGGGTCCAGTATCGTGGACGTGTTCAGGACGGGTCCAGTATCATGGACGTGTTCAGGGGAGGTCCAGTATCATGGACGTGTTCAGGGCGGGTCCAGTATCGTGGACGTGTTCAGGACGGGTCCAGTATCGTGGACGTGTTCAGGGCGGGTCCAGTATCGTGGACGTGTTCAGGACGGGTCCCGTATCGTGGACGTGTTCAGGGCGGGTCCAGTATCGTGGACGTGTTCAGGACGGGTCCAGTATCGTGGACGTGTTCAGGACGGGTTCAGTATCGTGGACGTGTTTCAGGGCGGGTCCAGTATCGTGACGTGTTCAGGGCGGGTCCAGTATCGTGGACGTGTTCAGGGCGGGTCCAGTATCGTGGACGTGTTCAGGGCGGGTCCAGTATCGTGGACGTGTTCAGGGCGGGTCCAGTATCGTGGACGTGTTCAGGACGGGTTCAGTATCGTGGACGTGTTCAGGGCGGGTCCAGTATCGTGGACGTGTTCAGGGGAGGTCCAGTATCATGGACGTGTTCAGGGCGGGTCCAGTATCGTGGACGTGTTCAGGACGGGTCCAGTATCGTGGACGTGTTCAGGGCGGGTCCAGTATCGTGGACTGTTCAGGGCGGGTCAGTATCGTGGACGTGTTCAGGACGGGTCCCGTATCGTGGACGTGTTCAGGACGGTCCAGTAATCGTGGACGTGTTCAGGGCGGGTCCAGTATCGTGGACGTGTTCAGGACGGGTCCAGTATCATGGACGTGTTCAGGGCGGGTCCAGTATCGTGGACGTGTTCAGGACGGGTCCAGTATCATGGAGGTGTTCAGGGCGGGTCCAGTATCGTGGACGTGTTCAGGACGGGTCCAGTATCGTGGACGTGTTCAGGGCGGGTCCAGTATCGTGGACGTGTTCAGGGCGGGTCCAGTATCGTGGACGTGTTCAGGGCGGGTCCAGTATCGTGGACGTGTTCAGGGCGAGTCCAGTATCGTGGACGTGTTCAGGGCGGGTCCAGTATCGTGGACGTGTTCAGGACGGGTCCAGTATCGTGGACGTGTTCAGGGCGGGTCCAGTATCGTGGACGTGTTCAGGACGGGTCCAGTATCATGGTCCCGAAATAACGTGCGGAACACAACGAGATATGTTGAGTCTGTGTAGAACGCACTGACACTGAGTTTGTGTCGATCGGATCAGCGCCCTCGGAGAAGTGCGTTAAAGTAGTAAGGGTAAGGGCGCCCTTGGGTTATAAATATTCACATTTAATCTCAGCTTAGTACACTACATTTCAGCATCACATGTAAAACTGGAGCTGGTTCAAGCATGTTAACCATCAAACCTCTGAAAGTCTCTCTGATCCACTAATGACTCAACACGTCATGAACACGACAATGACAGTGAGGGACGAAAACGCCATTACCACCAGGAGGCTCTTTATTGGTTTAGCCTCCGAGGTGCAGCTGGAAAATTGTAATCAAGGCTTGGAAAAAAAGCAAAAGGGATGACTTTGAAAATTCATCACGCGGCGTTACTGTCCCCAGAAGACAAACAGTCGGGATTAAAGCACAGCTGTCTGTATATCATGACGCAGAAGGTCTCTTCAGAGTGTCTCAGAGGGATAAATCTACAAACCAGGCCGAGGAAACTGCTGTGATCTTCATAATCATGGTAACACTTTGATCAATGAATCAAATTAGGATTCTACTTGATTCCCCATCATGAGGATATAATCTATACACGACCAAAACTTTTTGGAATTGCAGTTGTTGTCCTTTCACATAACATGAACAAATCAGGTGTACAATATGATAGCAGTTCTTTTTTTTAATTTTTTTTTTATTGTTGTTGTGTGTGAATGTTTTATTTTTTATTATTATTATTATTTTTTCATCATTAGCTCAGTATTATTATTATTATTATTATTATTATTATTATTATTATTATTATTGTTATTATTAGGGCCCGAGCACGAACCGTGCGAGGACCCTCTTGAAACCCTCGCGATTATTATTTTTATCCTCCTTATTTTTTTTCCGCCACTTTGCGGCCACTTTTGAGGGCCTGAACGTGCCCGAAAACTCACCAAACTTTCCACGCTCATCAGGTGTCATGAAAAATTTGATATTTTGGTGGTTTCGTAAACGGAGTTCGCAAAATGGCTCAGTAGCGCCCTCTTGAAATTTTCAAAATGGCCTCCCCATAAAGGGTTTTTCACGTACAATCACGAAAATTGTTACGCATATTAAGCTTGTCGGGACGGACGAAAAATCCTCTTGCAGCGTTTCAAAAAACCCGACAGGAAGTCACGAATTCAAGATGAATTTCACGATAACTGCCCAAAATCGCTGATTTCAGCCTTCCTACTTAAATAATTCATTGCTTCACTCTGTTTATATTTCTTTCCCCCTTTTCTTTCCCCCTGCCCCTCCCCCCTGCCTGTGGTTACAGTGGCTTCTCTGACAGTCTGATTCAAGACATCATCTACAGTTATCTGGTTTTACCAAACCGCATCACCATCCCTCTGGTCGGAGATGTGGAACTGGCCAACCTACGCTTCCCCATGCCGAAGGTAGTGACGCAGCCGAGCGCTTTTTAATCCTCCTCTTTCTCTTTGTGTTCTACTTGATGTGACGGCTTCCTGTGGTGTGTGTGTGTGTGTGTGTGTGTGTGTGTGTGTGTGTGTGTGTGTGTGTGTGTGTGTGTGTGTGTGTGTGTGTGTGTGTGTGTGTGTGTGTGTGTGTGTGTGTGTGTGTGTGTGTGTGTGTGTGTGTGATGACTCTCTGTAGGTAACTCAAAGAATAAAAACAAAATCAGACAAAGCACCAAACAGGCATCTCAAGGCTCTGTCGACCTGTAACCATAGCAACAAGCTAAACACTTCAGGTCAAGTAGTGCAGCGTAGATGGATGGATGATTGATGATGGATGGATGATTGATGATGGATGATGGATGATGGATGGATTGATGATGGATGGATTGATGATGGATTGATGATGGATTGATGGATGATGGATGGATGGATGATGGATGATGGATGGACGGATTGATGATGATGGATGGATGATGGATGGATTGATGATGGATGGATTGATGATGGATGATGGATGGATGATGGATGGATTGATGATGGAAGGATTGATGATGGATGATGGATGGATGATGGATGGATTGATGATGGATTGATGGATGATGGATGGATTGATGATGGATGGATTGATGATGGATGGATTGATGATGGATGGATTGATGATGGATGATGGATGGATTGATGATGGATTGATGGATGATGGATGGATGGATGGATGATGGATGGATTGATGATGGATGGATGGATGATGGATGGATTGATGATGGATGGATTGATGATGGATTGATGGATGGATGGATTGATGGATGGATGATGGATGGATTGATGATGGATGGATGATTGATGGATGATGGATGGATTGATGATGGATGATGGATGGATGATGGATGGATTGATGATGGATGGATGATGGATTGATGATGGATGATTGATGATGGATGGATTGATGATGGATGGATTTATGATGGATGGATTTATTTGATGATGGATTGATGATGGATGGATGGATGGATTGATGATGATGGATGGACGGATTGATGATGATGGATGGATGATGGATGGATTGATGATGGATGGATTGATGATGGATGGATTGATGATGGAAGGATTGATGATGGATGATGGATGGATGATGGATGGATTGATGATGGATTGATGGATGATGGATGGATGGATGATGGATGGATTGATGATGGATGGATGATGGATGGATTGATGATGGATGGATTGATGATGGAAGGATTGATGATGGATGATGGATGGATGATGGATGGATTGATGATGGATTGATGGATGATGGATGGATGATGGATGGATGGATTGATGATGGATGGATTGATGATGGATTGATGGATGATGGATGGATGATGGATGGATGGGTTGATGATGGATGGATTGATGATGGATGGATTGATGATGGATGGATGATGGATGGATTGATGATGGATTGATGGATTGATGGATGATGGATGGATGATGGATGGATGGATTGATGATGGATGGATTGATGATGGATGATGGATGGATGATGGATGGATTGATGATGGATTGATGATGGATGGATTGATGATGGAAGGATTGATGATGGATGATTGATGGATGATGGATGGATTGATGATGGATTGATGGATGATGGATGGATTGATGATGGATGGATTGATGATGGAAGGATTGATGATGGATGATTGATGGATGATGGATGGATTGATGATGGATTGATGGATGATGGATGGATTGATGATGGATGGATTGATGATGGATGGATTTATTTGATGATGGATGGATGGATTGATGATGGATGGATTTATTTGATGATGGATGGATGATGGATGATGGATGGATGGATGGGTAGATGGGTGGATACTGCATTGATCCTGAATTCAAAGTATCCAGTAGCAGCTTACAGAAACACATGACATGAAACCTGCTGCAGGAAACAGATTGAAAATAGATTGCTTAATAACGCCATCATTAGGCTCCTCCTCTTCCCGTGTAGCTCCTCTTAAGGCGCCTCCTCCTCCCGTGTAGCTCCTCCTCCTCCCGTGTAGCTCCTCTTAAGGCTCCTCCTCCTCCCATGTAGCTCCTCCTCTTCCCGTGTAGCTCCTCTTAAGGCTCCTCCTCCTCCCATGTAGCGCCTCCTCTTCCCGTGTAGCTCCTCTTAAGGCTCCTCCTCCTTCCGTGTAGCTCCTCTTAAGGCTCCTCCTCCTCCATGTAGCTCCTCCTCTTCCCATGTAGCTCCTCTTAAGGCTCCTCCTCCTCCCGTGTAGCCCCTCCTCCTCCCGTGTAGCTCCTCTTAACGCTGTGCTCTGCATGTCTCCACAGGGGGTCCTGAGGATTCACTTTTTGGAGGCTCAGGATCTGGAGGGGAAGGATAAGTTTCTGGGCGGCCTGATCAAGGGCAAGTCTGACCCTTATGGCATCCTGCAGATTGGAAACCAGCTGTTCCAGAGCAAGACGGTCAAAGAGAGCCTCCACCCTAAATGGAACGAAGTTTACGAGGTGACCTTTTCATTCTTTCACAGCGAAGCCGAGTGTATTCCCCCAAACTAGTATTAACATCAGTCTTTTGACTGGGCAAAGCTTTAATATGCACCGTGTCTCCATCAGGCGTTGGTGTACGAGCAGTCAGGTCAACACCTTGAGATCGAGCTATTTGACGAGGATCCAGACAAAGACGATTTCCTTGGAAGGTGAGTTGATCTCATCTCCTGATCCGATCACACAAACTTCAAAAAGAAACAAACCGATGTAAGAGCATGTTGTACCTGTAGCTGAGGGTCTTATGTGACAGGAAACTGTTTGTCCTAAAGACACCACAGAGATCTGAGGTGGGAGGGGGGGGATGTGTCTGAGCTGGTAGACATGAGTTAAAGTAAACAAGAGGAGGTATCACACACTTCCAAGTCCAAGGGCAGAGTGGATTGATTGTGCCCTCAGGTAGTAACACAACACAAAGCAGCCAGTCGATATCTGGACCCCCTGTGGTCAGATTCATCGCTGTGATTTGTCTGCTTACTGTTAATTATTTGTCTTTATTCACAGCCTGATGATCGATATGACCGAGCTGCACAAAGAACAGAAAGTCGACGAGGTAAAGCTAATTGAAGCTCAAGTTTGCACATTAAACTGCTTAAAGGAAATGTTCAACATTTTAGCAAAAAAGTGCTGCCACAGATGGACGGATGGGTAGGTGGATGGATGGATGGGTAGGTGGATGGATGGGTAGGTGGATGGATGGATGGATGGATGGATGGGTAGGTGGATGGATGGATGGGTAGGTGGATGGATGGATGGATGGATGGGTAGGTGGATGGATGGATGGGTAGTGGATGGGTAGGTGGATGGATGGATGGGTAGGTGGATGGGTAGGTGGATGGATGGATGGATGGATGGATGGATGGATGGGTAGGTGGATGGGTAGGTGGATGGATGGATGGATGGATGGATGGATGGATGGATGGGTAGGTGGATGGATGGATGGATGGATGGGTAGGTGGATGGGTAGGTGGATGGATGGATGGGTAGGTGGATGGATGGATGGATGGATGGGTAGGTGGATAGGTGGATGGGTAGGTGGATGGATGGATGGATGGATGGGTAGGTGGATGGATGGATGGGTAGGTGGATGGGTAGGTGGATGGATGGATGGGTAGGTGGATGGGTAGGTGGATGGATGGATGGATGGATGGATGGATGGATGGATGGACGGATGGGTAGGTGGATGGGTGGATGGGTAGGTGGATGGGTGGATGGGTAGGTGGATGGATGGATGGATGGATGGATGGACGGATGGGTAGGTGGATGGGTAGATGGGTAGGTGGATGGATGGATATTATATATATATATATATATATATATATTATATACTATTTAAAACCATATCCTCTCTTTTTAGAGGTTTTGATCGTTTGTCCACTCTGATGTTTTTTTTCACCCCCTCAGTGGTTTGAACTGGAGGAAACTTCAACTGGGAAACTCCACTTAAAACTGGAGTGGCTGTCTCTGCTCACCACACCTGAGAAGTTGGAGCAGGTAAGATGCTATTTACTGCTGCTAGTGGAGACAGTAAACATAAGAGATCCATCATGGTGCTGACAGTTTGTTTCTCGCTCCTTCCTGTTTTTTTGTCAGGTGCTGCGAAGTGTGCGTGCAGACAGAAGCCTGGCCAATGACGGGCTCTCGTCAGCGCTGTTTGTGGTCTACCTGGACTCAGCCAAGAACCTCCCAGTAAGACGCTGACATGTTCTGATGCTGTAGTGTGTGTAGATGTAGCATCGGGCTGATGGAGGGTTGTTGTTGTTGTTGTTGTTGTTGTTGTTGCACATTAAGAAACACTCTTAACACGTTGAGAAAGAAGCAGCGCTCAGTTCTCTAAAAGGATTGTTATCGTGATATAGTAGATGACACTGCTCCAGGACTAACCGGGCCTGAACATCACAGAGAACATGACGGCTTCTTTACGGACTCTGTGGTTTATTTAGAGTCATTTTAGTCACATACAGACAGAACACTCTCGATAATGGAGGCGAGGATCGATCAGACTTTATGTCCAGGGACGAGGAAGTGTACGCTGCCTGAGCACTCACACCCGTCACAGGAACTGCACTGAGTCAAAGGTTGTGCACGGTACATGTTACAGAGTGTGAGTGCGCCCTGAAAAGCCTGAATGGAATAATGAACCCTATGAAGCCACCTCAGCCCTCATGACCTCTGACCTTCTCTCTCTCTTTATTCTCATCCCTCCCTCCCGACCCCAGAGTGTCTTCACAGGAAGCTTAGGCTGTGGGAACTTAAGTGAGAGGAGAGCGTCTGGGCTAGTGTTTTGTGAGAGCAATACCTCAGAGTATAGAACGATATGTGTGAGTCCCCCTGAGCTTCTGCATCATGCTAGTGTTAGCATTAGCCGTGTGCTATGTTGTGGGGTTGAGCATGTGCTCGCTGCACGGTGTTATCGTAGTGAAACTTACCCAGAGTGGTGAGAACCAGTAACATGAGGCCGACTCTCTGCAGGGTTAGGGTGTGATTGTGGGGTCAGCCTAATGATCCCACAGCCCTATGGTCCCACAGCCCAATGGTTCCACAGCCCTATGGTTCCACAGCCCAATGATCCCACAGCCCAATGGTCCCACAGCCCAAGGTCCCACAGCCCAAGGTCCCAAAGCCCTATGGTTCCACAGCCCAATGGTTCCACAGCCAATGGTCCAACAGCCCAATGGTCCCACAGCCCTATGGTTCCACAGCCCAATGGTTCCACAGCCCTATGGTTCACAGCCCTATGGTTCCACAGCCCAATGGTCCACAGCCCTATGGTCCCACAGCCCTATGGTCCACAGCCCAATGGTTCCACAGCGCTATGGTTCCACAGCCTATGGTTCCACAGCCAATGGTTCCACTGCCCAATGGTCCCACAGCCAATGGTCCACAGCCCTATGGTCCCACAGCCCAATGGTTCCACAGCCCTATGGTTCCACAGCCCAATGGTCCCACAGCCCTATGGTCCCACAGCCCTATGGTCCACAGCCCAATGGTTCCACAGCCCTATGGTTCCACAGCCCTATGGTCCCACAGCCCAATGGTTCCACAGCCCTATGGTCCCACAGCCCAATGGTTCCACAGCCCTATGGTTCCACAGCCCAATGGTTCCACAGCCCAATGGTTCCACAGCCCAGTGGTCCCACAGCCCAATGGTCCCACAGCCCAATGGTCCCAGATTTCTAAGAATTTTCTCAAAATTAGGCTATGTTCCCACAGGGTAGGATTAACTTGCCCTAACTGATACAAATTTATGAAAAAGGAAATGTGGGAACATAGGCACGCTCCCGGGTGTGCTTGTTAGTCAGATATTCTGCTGATTTACTGTAGGTGCTAAGTTCAAGGCGGAAAAGAAGAGCTCAGTACAAAGAGGACAGAGTGCAGCGACGAGGCTCATAATGATCTCTGGCTGTATGAGTGTGTAGGCCGCGCTCTTACTCAAACCCTGTAGCTTGTTAGAAAAGTCCCACAGTGTTTGAAAGTAGCTTCTCCCTCATTATCACGGCCTGTGTGTGTATTGTTAGCTCTCTGCAGCATCCAAACCAGCAGCCCCCCCCCCCCCCCCCCGATCATATTCATGTCTCAGCACATTATAAACACATTTTCTGGGGGTTTTCTCATGCCTCTTTCAGTGTTTCCCCTGGGTTTACAGCTTTTGGGGGGGGGGGGGGCAGACGGAACACCGACACAAACGAGGAATCTTGGTGTTCATGTGTTACTTTTAATGACAGCTGTCCTGTTCTATGGTATCCTTAAATGACTTCTTTCCCTGGTTTCTGACTCTATCCACTATCCTACCATTACCCTTGTATAATGGTAGGGGAAACACTGCTCTTTACCCCCCAAACTCTCCTCTCCTACTAACTACGGGTGTGATTTTCTCCCTCACATCTCCTCGTGGCTTAAAGAGCAACCTGTCAGATTTCACCTATGACGGGTTGAAGCAAGTCTCAGTCTTTAAGGCCCTGAAGGTAACGTGGGATAAATGGATTGCATGTTCACATCACCCCCCCCCCCCCCCCCCCCGTGTCCCGTCTGTGCTGCTCTCTGTCTGTGCACCGTTCAGCGTCATGTTTCTGGGACGATTATCAACCTGAAAATGGAATCATCTTGATGTGCATGAAGATGGATGATTGCATTGTGCCTCTTGGTTGTGTTGTGCATATTCTTCTTCTTTTAGCACTCATGGATCTTGTATGCATAAGTGTATTTATTCTGCATGCACATCTTTGTGAGGAAAGCTCTCTTCCATCTCTGTGGTCGATGAAAAGTGTCCTCTATGCAGCTCATTTAGCAGACGATTTCAAAGAGGAACCTTTTTTTTCTCATCCTGTCAGTCGTCCATATATTCACATGCTTTAATTGAATCTAGAGGGAAACCCAACGTGTGTTGTTTCAGCATTTCTACCTCATTTAGAAAACAAATGGTTTGGAGAAGGAACTCATTCCATTCCAGGCATGTCTGCATTTTTCAGAGCTGTTTAAAGTGCAGCAGGAAAGATGAAGACAGGAAGTAGAAACTGTGGCTGCATGTGTATCAGACTCTGATTAGCATGTTCTGCAGCAGATCATCTCTGTCACGACATTGTTGATATCCATGCGACAGTTTTAGGTCACCAGTGTTGGTAACGAGTACTCAGATTACTTTCTTACCTTCTGCAAAACATGTTATACGTTCATTACTTTTGTATGAAAGTTGCATTTCCCTCTTCTTCCTTTTGTCCCTGAAGCATGTGCAGTTTGTGTTTCTCTTCCTCTCTGGGCACGTCACTGCATATGAGCAGAAGGTTGGCCTTCAGGTGTGTCAGCGCATGTGTAGCGAGCTAATTCAGCGAGTAAGATGGCGGAGAGAGCAGCCTTTCACTTCCCGTTATTTTGACTTTTTCTTCTATCTTATATTGCATCTGTTATTCCTGACTGCTCGGGGTAGAGCCGCTGCTCCCTTATCAAAAAGAGCCAGCTGAGGTGGTTTTGGCGTCTGATCCCTTGTCCAACTGGGAGTAGACCCAGAAATATGAATGTTTGAGGCTTAGTGGCGTCCCCGTCTGTTCCTGCAGGGGGCGCTGGAGTCCCATCAATGGCGGTCTCCATGCTGGAAATGCTGTCTCAGTCTAACTTTCAGTCAACCTAACGACAGGCTGAGAGCTGGAGCTGAGGCGGGTTTTAAACCTCCTGACAAACCGTTACACCGCGCCCACCTGTCAATCAGGTCAGCTACACGCCTTATTGTGAATAACTCTTATCCTTCATCAAATCAAAACTGATGAGTCATCAAAACATTCACCCCCCGTACAGTGTGTGTCCATCCAGACATGAGCTAATCACACCTATTTGTTTTTTTGAACCAGGCTGTAAACATGTTCATCTCTGCTGTAAAAACAGGCTTTTTAGAATGGGTGTGTATGTGACTTCCTGTGTTCCTGCAGCCAGCCTCTAGTGGACACTCCAGGAACTGCAGAATTTTACGTCTGTGCGTGCATGCATGCGTGCGTGCGTGTCACTTTGAGCTTTGCTTTAGATAAACCAGTTGAACGTCTCTTTTCGACCTTCTAGGCTGAATACTTTAGAAGCTCTCAGATAACTCGCTTTAAGCAACCAGACTGAAGCAAGACAACTGAGAAAGTGATCGACTTGTTCACCAACTCAACAAGCACACCAAGAGGAAGCTCTTTATTTAGTGCTCTACAAATAAAGATGGATTGAAATGTGTTTCTCATAGTGTGAACACACTCATTTTCCCACATCATCACTGAGATTAGAACGAAAATGTCTCTTTTTAAAAGAACAAATAACTTCAGTTAATTTGTCATTTTTATCCTCCGGTTACACCTGAAACTTTACTGGTAAATGCAGATCACATGGAGTTTGGAAGTTCATTCCACCACCGGGGGGCGACAGAGGAGAAGAGTCTAGTCAGAGACTTAGGACCCTGTTGTGAAGGTTGGATCAGACGCCTTTCATTGGCAGAGCGTAGA